ACCATCAGTATTATGACATGTTTGCTCACATCCTCCATTATTAGTATCACACTCATTGATATCTATTTCAATGAGGAAATATTATTCAGTTGAGGTTAGTTGATAATTACCAGAGCAGTTGTGACCATCAGTATCAATACTGTATCCATTATTACAAGAACACAAATATGAACCAGGAGTGTTAGTACAATCATGACTGCAGTTACCATTGTCAGCAACACATTCATTGATATCTAAATTTGTTAGTATACATTAGACCACAAAAGTTTTATACAATTTACCTATACAGTTGTGACCATTAGCATCAATGGAGTATCCATTAGGACAGGAACAATAATAACTACCATCAGTATTATGACATGTTTGTTCACATCCTCCATTATTATTAAGAGTGCACTCATCAATATCAGTACAAGTGTGATTATCATTAGTGAGTTGATAACCATTATTACAAGTACATGTATAACTACCAATAACTGAGAACAACCTGATCTTCTTTCACTGCACTCATCAATATCTTCATCTGATATAGCAAGAAAGTAAGTAGGTAATGATTAGTAAATTAAGCATTACCTGTATTTGTTGTTATTATTATTATTCTTTTTGTCAATTACATGTACATGTTTTATCCTTATTTTGGCCATTACTATTTCTTTTTATAGATAGACTGTCAATATGGTATCATATAAGTGCATGCTTTTACGGTGTTTTGTGGTTCATTCATTTTTCCTTCTTCTTTATTATTCCCATTCTCATTTAAAGTCCTCTTTGAACCTAGCGAGTTTGCCATTCTGACATTACTGAATACGCATGCTGTTCTGTCATATACTCAATTGTGTTTTACTTCTACTTTTGGTTACATTCCCAATATTACACGAATTATTACCACTGACAAGTGGAGATATGGATTGTCTATTTGACTGGATCTAGATTCAAATCCTGATTCAAGACAAGTGTGAACAAGCCAATCCTGTTTTAATTAATCCTGGATTTTATCTCGATTCTGGATCCAAAGTGGACAAGTGTGAAAAGGCCTTTACGTAGGCCTGAATCTATCATACATAGAGCTGTTGCACGGATGTAATCAACGGGGTAGGTGGAGCTTCCTGTCGGCCATCTTGAGTGGCAAGAATGTACACGCAATGAATGGAGGAATGGAAAGAAACTGCGATTTTTCATCAAAGAGATATCATACTTTGCTGCAGAATATTATAGAGACTTCTTTACTCAATATCTTCATCTCCTATCTTGCATTAGCCTGGAATGTCAACTGCAGAATTTATTTAAATTTTTTTCTCCGTTCCCCCATTCATTCTTGGCCTTCTTGCCACCCAACATGGCGGACAATTTAGCTCAATTTTAGCCACACCCTCCTGTTGATTACTTCCGTACAACAGCTCTATATCTATAATAACTATAATATCTTATAATACATATAATATTATAGTTATTAAATCAATGAATTTATAATATCCACCTGCATTTCAGGTTATGTACACAGCCAAGAGTTCACATGTATGATACAAGACACTGCCCAAAATCAATGAATCAAGCCTGATTACAGTATTGATACAGCCTGACAGGTATCATTGCTGAATCATGCCTGTTGCTCTGGCTGAACCAGTATGAATTCCAGCATGATTGTATCAATTAAGGTTGATAGGACTGACATCATTCACAAATCAATCACAAAATCTTGGCTGTGTAGTCTATAATATCTATGGCCTGATCTGCATTTGATCCGCATTTCAGGCTGGCCCGGATTTCAGCGCACTTGGATTATGGAACAACCAAGGGATTGGAAACTTCCACGTGGGTGTAGCAGTAATGCCATTTGATTGTATTGTTGCTAAGCTGACTATTAGAGCCGAGGCTATTATTCGGGAATAATTTTAAGAATAATGGGTCCAAATTTTAACTGGGCAGAATAATTTGAAAAGAGAATAGTGGGTGGAGTTTAAGAATAATAGGAGTGGTTTCACAGCAAAAATAATTAATATACCTTAATAATAGTTAACTAACTAGTAGTAATAGTTAACTAACTTGTAATAATAGTTAGTAATAGTTAATAAAGTAATAACAATTATTGGGGCGAGCATGAGCGAAGCCCAGTCTCAATCGAGAGCTCGCGATACGTATTCCGTATGCTGTCTAATTATAAAATTGGTTGAAAATGCCTCCTCTTAAAAAGTGTAAAAAGAAATATTGAAATGGGACAGTAGGAGGGTGTGGTCACAATGAACGAGAGATCCTCTCATTGATAGAACTAAGAATGTGAGAAGAGCTTGACTCTAGAAGTTTAGCTTAGTGACAGCACTATTTCTTGTACATCTCTTTTATTGGTTGATGATTGGTTATTTAGTTTTGTTAGTACTGCTGTTCAGACCCCGACCATGAGGTCGGGGTCTGAATATATGCATGCAGGTAATGGCCTCACAAACAAGAGAGATGAATATTCTTTTCTCTCTCATTAGACTAAGAGCTATATTAGAATCATTTTTATTTTATTTCAATAAAGTCAAGCTAAGCTAAGTCGATAGCTCATGCTTGCCCCTCAATGTTAAATTTACATTCACCTAGTTATTATTTTTATTTTAAATAATAATAATAATAATAATAGCAAAGCTAATTGTTGAAATATTGTACAGTATTATATAGATGGTGATCAATGAAAAATTTAATATAAGAGAGAGAAAGAGAAAGTTTCAGGGGAGGGGGAAGATAGTTCCATTGATTAATTGTAGATGGGTAAAATGAGTTTGAATATGTAGATGTCTTGCAAGTGATCAGAGAAAAGTTACCGTTATTATTAGATCGAAGAGAATAGCAGGAGGGAGCTTTAATTTGTAGAGGATGGAATGGGGTAAATGAAAGATTTTCTTTTATCTTAAAAAGCAGGACAATTTTAAATTTAAATCGCCAATGAGACAGGGAAGTAAGGTGAGAGAGATTTAGGAGATGGTGGTACGGGATAGACCATAACTTGAAGGCTATTTTTAAGCCAAAATGCTGAACAGCCTCCAGTTGTGATGAGACTGTGGGAGAAGGAGGATCCCAAATTGAGGAAGCATACTCCAAATTATTATGAACTTAACAGTATAAGGCAAATATAGGCAGAGATGAGAAAAAAGGACAGAGGGTACTGAAGGACTGCAACAACATGTGTTGCAGCCAGAAAAAAATTAATAAAAGTAAATAAATAAAGTAAATAAGTGAATTAAAGTTTGCATGAGTGATTATTGGAGGTGACAGGAAGTACAGGGACAAATGTAGTGGAATGTGCAAGGAGAATCAGGTGAGAAATGTAGTAGAAAGTGATCCCAAAAGTGAGCATAGAGCTGCCTTTTGATAGTGCCATAAGTAAGAGTGAGATCAAGGCAGTGAGAGGGAATAGTTAACTAACTATAAATAACTTGTAATTAGCTCAGTTTAGCTGTATGAACTGACAAAATCTTTGAATAAATGGAATTTAAGGTGGGAATAATAGGTAATTTTTGGGGAATAATGAACATTGTTTACAAGAATAACAGAATAGAATAATGACTGATTTTTTAGAATAATAGCCTCAGCCCCCCCCCCCAATAATAGCCTCAGTGGTTTGTTACTTCTTTGACCACAAAATTTCCATTAAAATTAGAATAACTCCAAGAAGAGTGCTTTGATGAAAAAGAAACTCGATTATCAAGGAGTTTATAATAATTAAAGTTTAATTAATATTTTATAGCGATTTTGCCCATAAAATTGCTGTTTTCTCCCTCTAACAAAGACATTTGTAGCTAAACTTTAAAAAGCTTGTCAGAATATATATATAAGAACTTTCGAATCATTGATATGAGGCAACACTATAAAATAGCAAAAACTTGAAAGCTGTAGAGGAAAAAAGTGTCAAAAAAGATGCCGACTTTGTGTACCCATAACTGGTCGAAAAATATCTCAATAGAAACAAAAACCTTGCTCTAGGTAGCCATAAACTTTCTATGTGGAACAGAAGATATATCAAAAGCAAGCACTATCTAATAGTCACACAATATTCCTTCGAGAATCCTTTCTGCACAGCGACTCAGTACTTAGTCTCGCTCGCCAGCAACTAATGAAGGAGATGGGGAAAGCATAGATATATCTATAGATATCTGGGGAAAGCTACTGCAGATAAACACGGACGTTGCCAACCAGGTAACCAGGAGCAGAGATCATAGGCGGTTGCAGGCCTGGGCATTAGGGGGCAATGCCCAGGTTGACTTTTTGACCAATAATTATATTCATGATTCTGGTGTGGGCATCCAGTGTAAACTGTGGTAGTTCAACAGGCTTCTTTGTTGTTTTATGCTAAGAAATCATCTCAATGAAGTTATAGATTTTCCTTGCAAAATTGTATGGAACCACACCCACTCCACACCCACTAATTATTGATGCCCAGGTCAAACCAAATTTCTGCAACCGCCCATGGCAGAGATATAATAGATATCATAGGGGTAGGAACAGGGGGGGCAGGAGGGGCTTAAGCCCCCCCAACTTTCATTGAAGGGGGGCTTAGCCCCTCCAACTTTAAGTGATGTACATGTATTACTATTATCAACACTATAAACTTTAGTTAAGTAATCCATTGTGTAATGATTTGTTTCATAAAACAATTAATACACTAGCTTAACTTCTAAGAACCCACTTTTATTAGTTTTTCAGGAATACACAAGCTTCTACTTCTTTATTTAACAACTCTGTTAACATCAGCTTCAGCTAAGCATAGATTTTTGACGTTAAGGAGATTAAAAACTACTTGCGCTCCACAATGTCACAAGAGCATTTTAATCATGTAGTTATTTTGCATACACACAATGAATTTACAGATGATTTACACATTGAGGACATTGCAAAGGAATTTGTTACATTTAATGAGCATAGACGCCAATATTTTGGACAGTATTAAATTCAGTACATGCTATGTATTAATGATCAATTGTAAAAATAATACCTTAGCCCCCCCAACTTTTAGTTCGTTCCTACCCCTATGATAGATATAATAGGTTACGTTAGTCTATTGTATCCCTGCCAGGAGTGATGAAAACCGCATCCCATCTCCGGGTAGTCAGGCGGAGCCTGACTCTAAAGAAAAGGCGGAGGGTCAGGATATCCCTTTCCCTTTCCTATCCCTTTCCTTTTAACTCTAATATCTATGCTTATACCAAAGTTGGCTTACTGCAAAATTTCTGCAGTACAGGAAGTTACGTCACTTTATAGTTAATTAATATTTATAACTGTTAATAATTATTTATAACCATTAGTTTATCGCGCGCGAGCTAAGTCAGGCTTAGTCAGCTAACAGGCATGGACTCTTCACTAGACCTTACAACTCTAGTTACAACTGGCTTTTTTCAAAGCCATCCAAT